ATATCCACAGTTCCCTGACGACTCCAATCTCAATTTTGTAGAGGATTCTGTAAGTGACATGATACCTTATATTATATTTTAGAAGAGTGTGTGATTCTGTGATACTTTTCCCTCTAACTTAGAATAGTGATTTGAGTTTAGTGACTGATAGAAGATAGTCTATAAATAACTTCATGCTTTTAAAAAGGTAGAGAATTCTTAATCGCTTTATTCCTCCTCCTCTCTACTAGTTTTTTTTCCTCTTCTTCCTCTTCTCGATGACATGGTAATTTTTTATCAAGAAAAAAAAGAATGGTAGTAAATAGGCCATAGAAATAAGACGAATAGGAAAATAAGATGATGCTTTTTGCAGATGGCAACATTAATACAGGTTGTGAACGACATTAAAGATTCGGGAAACACCTACTTTAAGAATCAAGATTTTACAGCAGCTATTAAGAAATACCAGAAGAGTCTTGTCTATATTAAACAGTAAGTTGTCTTATTGTGATTTTTGAGATATTTTAGAGAATTTATTTACTATGGTCGCACATTTATTATAGTTTACAACACTGTAAGTTTTTTTTTTTTTATGATATATTGTAATATTGATGTTGATATTGTTATTATTAATATTATTGTTATTATTATTATTATTACTATGATTTTTTATTATTATTTATTTATTTTTGTAATTATTGTATTTTTTTTTGTGTGTGTGTGTGTGTGTGTATATGTGCGTGCGTGCGTGCGTGCGTGCGTGCGTGCGTGCGTGCGTGCGTGCGTGCATACGTGTGCACGCATGAGTGTATGTATGTGCATTTTGTTTTGTTTTGTTTCAATGACATATCCATCATAGAAATGTTAGTATTAAGTTGCTGCCATTACTTTATGTTTTATCAATAACTTTGTAATTATGCACAGTATACATCTCATTTCCACCTCACTCTATTTTCTCCAGTATTGAAGAACAAGGCAAAGCACGCAGTGACATCACCGAGCTTGAATTGAACATCCTAACCAAGTTGTCTGTGTCGTGTCTTCTCAATCATGCGTTGTGTTCTATTAAGCTCAGTTGGTTCGGCAAAGCAATTAGTGATTGCGATAGGGTGAGTTTAACTGGCATTTGCTCTCCATCTCTCTGTTTGCTCTCTTTTTCTTTTCTCCATTCTTCTCATTCCTCTCCTCTTTTCTACTTTTCTTCTCTCCTTTCCTCTCCAGGTTTCTTCTCTCCTCTTCCCTCCACTTTTCTTCTCTTTTCTTCTCTTCACTTTTCTCCTCTCCTCTCCTCTCCTCTCCTCTTCTCTCCTTTCCTCTCCCCTCTCCTCACCTCTTCTCTTCTCTCCTCTCCTCTCCTCTCCTCTTCTCTCCTCTGATTCTTCACTTTTCCTCTCCATTGCTCTCTTCTGAAGTCTTTCCATTCCTCTTCACTTCTATCCTATTCTCTCTTCTCTCCTTTTCTCTTTTCTTTTCTATCATCTCTCCTCCTTCTTCCTCTTCTTCTTATTCTTATTCCTCTTCTTCTTCTTTGTCTTCCTCCTCCTCTCCCTCTTCCTCTGCTCTTTCCTCTCCCCTCCTCCTCCCTCTTTTCCTCCTCCTCTTTCTGTTCCTCCTCCTCACCTGCCTCCTCCCCCTCCTCAAAAACTTTCTAGAGTATAAAAATTGGAGTATAAGATTAACTAGTAACATTAGCATGTAGTGTTTTTTTCCTGATACGAGAAAAAAATTAAATGTTGTATGAACTTTATTTCATTTGTATTTTTTCCTAGGTATTTTCCAATTTACCATACTAATGAACATTTATGTCTTGCTTTTCCAGGCCATCGAACTGGACGACTCCAACCCCAAGGCCTATTTTCGCCGAGGACAAGCCTACAACCTCAGTAATGATATTGATTCAGCGAGAACTGACCTGGAGAAAGCTAAGGAGCTTGAACCCAATGACAAGGGCATCCTGAGGGAGCTCGATGCAGTTCTGAAGAAGATCCGTGCCAGGAAGGAGAAGGAGAAGGCAGCTTATGCCAAGATGTTCCAGTAACAGAGGGATATAGTTATTAAAATAGTGCAAGTGATAACCAGTGTCGTACGTTCTCAGTACTTCTGTTAGTTGTGATAACAGCTTCAATTTGCTCTTGTATCAAGAAGAATGGCTGTAGAAGCCAGAGCAGTGATGTTTTTTCTACTTTGGTTAATGTATTGTGATTGTGCTTGGTATTCTCTTTTTTTCATGTGTGACAGAATAAAACCCTGAACTAAAAGGATTTTAGTTTTTCATGATGTTCATGAAGAAATGGTAATTGTTGTATTGGAAGATGTTTATCATTATTTGTTTTTTTGTTTATGTTGATGTTCATGGAGAAATTATAATTTATGTATTTAAAGGTGTTGAAGATTGGCAATATTTACGTATATAATTTTTTTTTTGTTGATGTTCCTATTTATCAATTTACATATGGTTGGAAATTAGATATATCCTGATACAAGAAACAATAAAATTCCAAAAATGTTGAAATAAGCTATATTATTATTGTTTTCATTATTTTCTTTATGATGTTAATCTCTTCATGCCATAATTTATTTATTTATAGTGACTCCTTGGCTGGGCATAATCCTATTTTCGCAAGGTATGCTTACAAAATACTATCTATCTGTACCATAAGACCTGAACCACTAATCCATATCCATAACTTATTATATATTACAATACAACTGATACATTGTAGTTTTTGAGCTGGTTACAGGCCTTCAAGGGAATAAATTACCACAAGTGTGGCATTTTGCACCTCTAGACTGTGGTAGGGGTGTGGTGGAGTGCTATTAGTGTTTTGTCTTATTTCTACAAAATTTCTGCTACAGAGTATATGGAGCCATAAAGAATCTAATTGTGCAGTAAATTATATCAGCCTTTAATTCAAGGGTTGTGAACTTTATAGCCCTCAATTCAAACAAATTTAATAACTTGAATCAAAGCTATTCTGTCACCTTGTTCATTCCTGGCGCTGTAAATAACAACTGAATTTTTATGAATAGGGGGCGATTAAACACACTTCCCAAAGTGGGGAGGTGTGTACCAGCGCATGCGAGTGCAATCGCATGCCTTTCCCAGATAGGCCTGTGGTTACATTATGGCTTTAATTAAGTAGCTTCAGTTCATTACATGAATTGCACACAGTCACAATAATGACATCTGCCTCATAGGGGTCCATGCACTGCATTTCAATATATATATTTTTTCATTCTTGCTTTTCTAGTAATGTAATTCTAAAACTAGGTTAAAATCATAATTTGAGTCCTTTTTTTCATATTTATTTTAAGTATTATCAAACTCTATGCCAAATTCTTGGAGAGTGGAGTCTTAGACCTAGGTGCATTAAGCTAATATTTATTGCCTCCCAGGAGCCGCACAATCTTGCTCACGATACTTTATTGGCAAAAGAAGATGATGAAGTGACATTATTAACCTATATTATTTGAAGTTAGTGTGAATTGTGTGAAAAAGTCCATGCTATACATGAAGCAAATGAACTTCCATATACCCTTCTACAAATAGAATTGTTGTATTTGTACAAAAGGGTTACGTTGCTTTTTTACTCTTCCAATTTCCTGTTTTTCTTTTAAATCAGTTTTTCTCAGTTGGCCACACAAAAAAAGGAATACCATGCCATGTTCGTGTAAGAGCTGTTTCTAGATATAATGAAAGACTGAAAGATATTGAATACCTTATACTCTCCTGAATGCAGTGCTAGAAGTATTTAAGGGTTCATGTATAATTATCATTATTTTCAAAAGTGTATAAATTACATGTTAGGGAGAGGTAGCTAATGACCTGTTTATGATCAGATTTCCCCTCCCCCCCCCCATCATGAAATCCATTGTTGGTTACCCTACAGAGAGAGTGGGATGTTTAAGATGAAAATAAATTTTAAAGAATCTAAAAACATTGTTTGAGAATAGGAAAATGGGAAAGAGAATATATTTTGTACCCTTTTGAAAATATCAATAATTGAGGATGATCCCAAATGTATTGTTAATTAACATAGATAATTAAAAGGAAGATGGTTAGTTAATTGTACAGTGCAAAAATGCACTGTTTGTTAACCCTTAGCCACTGGGTGGCATGTACATACATGCCATAGCATTCCTGGACTATATTCTGGCTGGCATGTGCATACATTCCATGACCATACATGCCCTTGGCATGTATGGTCATGCCACACACACTTAAGGTGATGACATGAGCCCCTGGCAGTGTTGCCCGGCCACAGCAAGGGAGAGAGGGCTTGCAGATTGGGGAAATCACCCGTCGGCATTGGGTTAATGTAGTGTGGTTATTTATAGATATTTAGATATATTGCTTTTTTTACTATTTTATATGGCTGAAAACTAGTATTTACAACTATTAGTGATTAGTAATAATCTTAGAATTAGGTTAATTGATCATTATCGAAACTAGTCATACAGATAAATGCAAGTAGCTTTTACATTATTACATTTACATTATAAGTATGAATATTTCATAGCTTTATACTTGGAGTAGTTGATGCTAATCTGAAAGATTGTTTTTTGTCCCTTTAAGAACTGCAGTCATTTTCCAAAATATTAAGCAAAGAACATGCTTGGGACTATTTCCAGCTGTTTTCTTCACTATTTAATAATTTTTCTCTCCATTATCTTATAAACCTGATAAAAATAACAAGTCGCATTTTACACTGACAGTTTACCAAAAAATTATTACTGATTTTATTCTCTCTCTCTTTTCTCTCATAATTTTGCCTGTTGTTTTGTACATAACATGACATTCCCTCATAATACTTAGTCTTTTACTGAATGACACACTAATCAGTTACAGTCAGTTATACAGTGAATGCACAGTAACATGCACAATGGTAGCTTATACTTCTACTTGGAGAGACATACCAGTGATTCCAGGTTGTCTACTGTTAAATTAACCATGAATAAAGCATGATATATATGCTGGGCATTCACAATTACATGCATACAGACATATGTATACACATACA